TAATTTTGGTTATATTTAATTAAAAAATTTAGAATTTTTTAAAAATAACACTTTTTTATGCTATGAATATGCTACTGTATACTATTCCAAAGCATTTTGATGAGCTGATTCCGAATCTGAACTCAGAATCGATCCAGCATATGTCTGGTCTCGATATATGCGGGAAAACATTTTCTTGTAGGGTAAGACTATCAGAAATATCACTATTTGCAAGGAGTCTTTCGATTTCTCTGAAACTGAGGGAAGTAATAGTCTTAGGTAAGATAGTTTAAAGCCCCTAAAGGATCTTTCAAAATTATGCCCGCTACGCTATTTTGAAAATCGATTAATTATTTTTTAAAAAATTTATTCTTCGAAAACAGTCAAACGGATTTTGATAAAAATTGCAGGCAATATAGTAGCCGTGTGTATGTGGGTAGCCTCAAACCCAACGGTCCCTAGACTTATAACTTTGAATTTTTAGGTTATGGTCATTTTAATACTAATATCCCAGACAGCAAGCAATATTTCCAACCTTGCACGGCAACTTTGCCGCAAGCTTTAAATGTCCCACCTAACCCAACCTTGTATGGTTAGCTTGCCGAAAGATTGCAGTGTAAGGTTACTGCAAGATTGCATGATAAGATTATCGCAAGCTTGTATAGTAAGCTTGCACGGTAAGCTTGTGGCAAGGTTGGTGCAAGACATAAAAGTATTAAATAGTATATGCTATAAAATTTGTAAAATATTTTATAGATTCTATAGCATATTCTTTTGAATGCTTTTTCGGTATAAGTTTCGTGCAACTGTAGTATAAGGCCACGCCTCTTAAGCAGGAACGTCCAAGGAACGTGCCTGGAGATGCTTGAAACTTGTTTCTCGGAGGTTTTTGGGGTCGCTGATTACGAATCTGAAGTCAAAATTTCAAAATTCAATATGGCGTATCCAATATGGCTGACATTTTTTTAAAAAGTGATTGGATTTGCTTGAAACTTGTTACTTGTAGATTTTTGGGGTCGCTATATACGAATCTAAAGTCAGAATTTAAAAATTTAATATGACTGATTAACTATGTCACGAAAACTATTTTAAATTCAAGAGATTTTCTAGAAATTTTAAAAAATTTTAAAAAAGGTCTCTGTGTTTACAGGGTTGACACTGTCATCGTAATCAAAATGATGCCCACATTACTTTTTTTTTATTTTTTCAAATTTTTATATTTCTTTTTGGCTTTTAATATTTTTTTTGTTTTTATTTTCTTTTAAACTTCTAATAATTTACTGTAGTGCCATTTTGGCTATTTGAATACTTTTTTATCAATAAATTTTTTTTACCTAAAACAGTAAAGGAATTACCATAGTCCATAGTTCCCTAGTCTTGAAGTTTGAAAAAATTTGCTAAGAAATTTAGTTGTTCTAAATAATTCTATAGAAAAGCAAAGTAAATGAATGCTGCAAAAGGATTTTAGCAAAAATAATACTAAGATACGCCAATAATCAACGAATGCAACAGTATGAAATTGTATTGAATTTTATGAAAGCGACATTAATAGCAGAATAATGTCTTGTGTAAATACTAGTTAAAGTTGATGCAAATTGATTAAAATACTCAATTTCTTCTAAAGATTTTGTTGAAGAATTATGTCATAAGCTTGCGAAATTAAAATCATATTCATTATTACAAAGCAGCAAATTTAGTATATGAAAAATCTGAAAAGTAATATTTGTGACATTCAATTCTAAATAAAAATATTCGCAAGAAACTTTACGAAAATTACAGAAAATTTCTCGGGAATCCATTTTTCCGTCACTAATCCGGGATTTTCTAGGGAATTTTCCGAGAATCAATACCTTGAGAATATTCAGGTATATTATTAAGTAGGAAAAATCAGTACATTTTTTTTTCTAGAAAATTATAATTTAGGACAAGTTGGTGATCAAATACTCATAGTACTAAGATTTCTCATTAGAAAGATATGACAGTGACAGACCTGTGTAACACAGAAACCTTTTTTTAAAATTTTTCAAGTTTACGAAAATCTCATAAAATTTAAAAATATCGTCCGATATATTTTACACAGTTAGAATTATTGAAAATTGACCTTATATTTATGTAATCAGCTAACCTAAAAACCAGTAACTAACATTTATCATGTAAATCAACTACTCTAAAACATTCTTAGTAACAATTTTCATTCAAAAACTTACATTTAAATAAAATGGTCCGCCATACTGGATCCATAATATTGAATTTTTAAATTCTGACATCAGATTCTTATTTAGCGACCCCAAAAACCTACGAGTAACATGCTTCAAACAAATCCAATCACTTTTTAAAAAATTTGTCAGCCATATTGGATACACCATAGTGAATTTTGAAATTCTGACTTCAGATTCGTTATCAGCGACCCCAAAAACCACCAAGTAACAAGTTTCAAGTATCTCCAGGCCTTTTTTAAAAATTCGTCCGCCATATTGGATACGCCATATTGAATTTTTAAATTCTGACTTCAGATTCGTATTTAGCGACCCCAAAAACCTACGAGTAACATACTTCAAACAAATCCAATCACTTTTTAAAAAATTTGTCAGCCATATTGGGTACACCATAGTGAATTTTGAAATTCTGACTTCAGATTCGTAATCAGCGACCCCAAAAACCCCCGAGTAACAAGTTTCAAGCATCTCCAGGCACTTTTTAAAAAATTGTCAGCCATATTGGATACGCCATATTGAATTTGGAATTCTGACTTTAGATTCGTAATTAGCGACCCCAAAAACCTCCGAGTAACAAGTTTCAAACGAATTAAATTAATTTTTGAAAATTCGCCCGCCATATTTCAGCCGCCATTTTGAAATTTCAAAAAATGCCATTCGGCATTTAAAAGTATTCCTTTTTAGCTAAATTTTAAGCCTATGCCCGATAATTTAAACATAAACCATTTTTGGAGAGCAGGGGGGTCCCGTTGACGAAGAATGCCTCATATTTATTTACTAATTCTTCCATTTCTAAATTAAATTCTTACTCAAATTGAACTTATTAATTAACGTTCTAATTAATTAACTGTAATATACCTAAACATTTTGTATTTTTTGTTTCAATGCTAAAGAAAAAATAGTTATGTTTCGTTTAATCTAATTTTTCTTTTAAAAAATTATTTATTGTTTTGATACTCAAATAGTTAAAAAATTGAAATAATAAGTTTATTGTTTTACTGTATTATTAAAGATACATTGTTTAATTTGTTAAATATCTTATGTTATTTATTGACCATTTTATATAATTATTTTACTATCTTATACCAAAATAAAATAATAACAAATTAAAAAAAAAATTCTGTAAAAATAAAAAAGTAAAAAACAAAAGTTTTATATAAAAATTAATTTTAAAAATTTATTTAAATATCAAAAATTAAAAACATTGAATATAAAAATAACAATAATAATTTTTTTCAAGCTAATACAAATTAAATTTTGTAAACCAGTGTACAATTTAAATAATTAAATAAATAAATAAAATACTTTTTTGAGAAATTTTTGTGTTGTTTTGATAACGACTTAGTTGTGAAATAAAAATATGCTTCCACTAATGTAAAATGTCCAAATATTGCGCTTTAATTGTGGGGAGTCTTGCGATGACTCAACCCCCACTCTCGAGTTTTTCCCCCTCAGCAGGGAATGTATTGTGTGTGGGAGTTGTACGTGTGCTTCGCGCAACTGATTAAATTAATGCCGAACGATATCGAGTACAGACGTGTACTTTGATTCTCTTTTGCCATAAAGACAGAAATGTATATTTTTACAATTTATAATAAATAAGTGTTGAGTTAAAATCTCATTGTTATTTTGTGACTCTACCAAGACACGCTTTTGGGATAAATCCCTTTTTATGTGGTGAAACATAACATATTTCCCACATAATATTTTCCGACGCGACATCTTGTGTGTAAAAAATAAATCGCGTTTTTACTACGCCGGCCGATAAAGTAGACTCCTATTTGACAGACGTAAACAAATCATTCTACTTTTTTAATTACTCATACATTTTAATTAATGTCACTGGAATTAATTAATTAAAAACAACAAGAAAAACAAATTTGATTATCTTTTATCACTTGGAATGTGAAAATTTATATATTTATAATTTCCCGAAATGAAGGAGGAATGAGGTAGGAACGAGGTAGAAAGTATTTCGCTGTAAATACTTATTTTAAATTACTATTATTTATTAATTATTGTTTAATTTAGTATAAATATTACATAAAAACAATTAATAGTAGTATTTCACTATTATATATTGTTTTTTTGTATTATTTATCATTTACTATTGTATTTTTGCAATTTCCCCAAACCAGGGAGGAACGAGGTAGGAACCAGGGTCGAATTCGACCCTCATTCCTCCAAACCAAGTCGCAAGGGATAAAATATTATTTATTGCATAAAGACGATGAAAAAATCTTATTCTTTACATCAAGACGAATCGATTCGTCTGTATAAATTATACAGAATTTAGGGAACTGATTACAATTAAACGGAAAAATTGTTATTTTTATAAAAAATTCAATTTGCTTCCTGCATTTAGTTTTTGTTTTTATCTGCCCGAATCTACTTTAGTTCCTTACTACATTTTCCAAAGATTATTCTAATTAATTTTTATTATAATTTATTTATTGTTTTTTTGTTTTATTTATTGTTTGTGTTAAAAATGGTTAAAAACAATTTTTTAGATTTGAAGTTATGTTAGTGTCGGATTCCTCCTTAACGAATATATTTAATAAATTTCACAAGCGGAATGTAATTTATTTTTGTTTATTCTCAGAGTCCCTTGTAAAAAGTAAATTTCCAGAAAAGGAATCTTCAAAAATTTTCGACAATTCTAAAATAAATGTTTACTATATTTTTTGTGTTAACATTTTCTTTATGGTGATATAATAATAATCTTATTCTAGGCTTTTAATTTCTAATTTTTTATATCCTAAAAGGATCAGAAAATACATTTAAAAAAAAATTATCTTTTCGCAGCAAAATGGCTAGTACTGTATTTACTGTAAAACCATTCCAGTTTATACAATTTATCCAAGTCGGCAGACAACCAAAAAAACGGTCTGTTAAAATTACCCTTCTTAAATGGATGAAATTCGATAAGATTAAAAAGAAAATTGTATCAAAATTTATGCCTGAACCATATACAGAAGAGACTAACGAAATATTGTATAAGATGATAAAGCAACATCAGGATGCATCACCAAATTGGCCTGAATACTGCATAAAAATCCTTGGACACACAGGTTAGTTTTTTAAAATACTGTCGAAAGTTATTCAGAGTCTCAAAGTATTCCATTTAGTACAAATTAAGGGGGGCGCCTACTTTATCGGGTCAAAAAAATCGATTTTTTAAAAGTTGTCTTAACTGAAAGTACAACTATCAGAGAATATGCTCTTAAAATATTATGTCAAAATACAAAATATTTTTCGAGTTACAGCTTGTAGAACGCAATAAAGCGCGTGGCCTGGCGCGCGAATCCACTCGCGGTCTCTAATACTTTTCATAATTTGTTGCGCTTATCTACTATTACATCTACCATTAAAATTACCATTTATCAGTAAAATGTCGTCTTATCTAAGAGCTACCCATAAAAAAAATAGTCGTTCATCGAGGCCTGTGACTGCCGTAAGTTTTTAAAAAACAGCACTTATATGTTTTTCAATCTTTAAACTCGTTTTTTTCAAAACACTGTTTTTGTAGTTTGCGTACACGATAGACAAAAATCTATTCAACCGATTAAGGTCTACCTGGGCTTGTTTTGAAGATAAAAAGTGTCTCTTCTGTATGAATTAAATTTGTTTTTGATAGAGTTAAATTTAGTGCTTTTTTTTAAAGAAAAAATGAGATTTTTTTTGGCGAAAATTAAATTTTTTTTAAAAAAGTCATGTAAAAATGTCAGTTTTTACTTTCTATTGAAATCTTTTAATTCATACAGAAGGCAATAATGTATATTTAAAGAAAAAATTTTGTTTTTTTGTTTTGGATAAGAATTGTGGACCCTAGGTTGTACGCAATGGGAAAATTTCAGCAGCGAGACGTTATATATATGGCGTTTATTTTATTATTAAATTCTATTTTCATTTAATCAAAAAATTATATTTCAAAGATTTAAATATATAAGAAAACATACACTAAATCTCGCATCAATTTATTTAAATGTGTTTGAGAAAAAAATTCCTGAAATGTACGCAGTTTTTTACATTCTAAAGTAGGCGCCCCCCTTAAATGAAAATTATTTTAGCCAAGATTCGGTGTTGATTTTGTTTTTAAATCGTTTTTAAAAAATTCTTATGCTTTGCAATCGTTATTTCAGATACCTACGAACAGTCAGTGGAGCGCCTTAATATTATACGGATGGAAGAATTTGATTTCACAACGGACTCCAAAATTGACAATACAGAAAAAAGGGAGCGAATAGAGAAAATGATTAAAGATCATAATCCGTACGACAATAACCTGGATGACATTTTGGAAGCACCTTCTTTAAAACAAATGGTTGTGAAAAACACAGAAAAAAGTGTCAGATCCTCTTGCTGTTGCTGGTAATAGGAAAAACTTATTAATTATTTAATTCATATTTTTTATAATTACACAGCCACACAAAAAAAAGTTCTGATCTGGGGGTCTGACTATGCTTACTTTATGTTTTTTGTGTCGCTGAATCCGAATCCGAGGTCCGTTTCACCCCATCAGATCAGGATTTTGACATAACCTCAAAAAACGAATATGGCGGACAGCTTTTCGAAAAATTCATCGAATTCGCCTGAAACACTTTACTCGGGGGTTTTTGGGCTCGCTAATTGAGGATTTGATTCGTGTCAGTTTTTAAAAATTCAAAATGGCGCATCCAATATGGCGCCAATTTTTGGACAAAAATCACCTGATTAGCCCGAAACTCGTTACTTGTTAGATCATCACGGCATACAAGAGATACTCTAGGACCAAACAAAATCATCTAACTAGTAATGAGTTTCGGGCTAACCAGGTGATTTTTTTCCAAAAATTGGCGCCATATTGGATCCGCCATTTAAAATTTTTAAAACTGACATCAAATTCGTAATCAGCGACCCGAAAAACCCACGAGTAACGAGTTTCGGGCTAACCAGGTGATTTTTTTCCAAAAATTGGCGCCATATTGGATCCGCCATTTAAAATTTTTAAAACTGACATCAAATCCGTAATCAGCGACCCCAAAAACACCCGAGTAACGTTTTTCAGGAGAATTCGATGAATTTTTCGAAAAGCTGTCCGCCATATTGGTTTTTTGAGGTTATGTCAAAATTCTGATCTGATGGGGTGAAACGGACTTCGGATTCAGCGACTTAAGAAACATAAAGTAAGCATAGTCAGATCCCCAGATCAGAACTTTTTTTTTGTGTGGCTGTGTTATTCTAAACATATAGTAATTTTATAATGTGATGCTTTCAGATAAGGAAGAAGACACTTATTTAGATTTAATTTGTGAGACTCCCATTCGAAATCAGATGCTGCTAAAAAATAGGAAAAGAAAAGTCTTAGATGAAGAAGAAGAAGAAGATACGTCATTTTCTAAAAAAAGAAAACATGAACTTCCCTCATCATTCAGAAGAAAAGAAAACTGCGGCATTGTCATATTATAAAATTGGTCTTTCAAAATTAAATATAAAACCACACAAATCTACATTGTCTTAAAACAATCATATCCTTATGCAGCCATTGGTGTACTACTCGAGAGAATTAATTTTCTCGTAGGAGAGGTAGTTGAACTCAAAAGTGAGATGAAGTATTTGAGGGCTGCAATGGAAGTTGAGAAAAGCTCAAAATTTGTTGAGCAAAAAACTTTTGAGGAAGATTTTGATATTAAGTTACCTATGCAAAACTTGGACGACTTATACGCCATCGATTCGAAAATCTTAAGTGAAGAATGCTGTCAACGCTTTTTAATTATATAAATTAGTTAAATTTAATAATAAATATTTGGAATATTTAATTACTAAATAGAGTTTATTGTTTTACAGAAGGGATCTTTGGACTTCCATTTAAATTTTAATGCAGAACATCGAAAATCAATTGGAATATTGGAATATTCTCAGCAAAAATTTAATACCTTCCCTTACTGTGACCAAAAAGGTTCCAGGAAAGGAATTGTTTAAAGATTTCAAATTTTGCACATGTTTACTGGGTAAAAACGTTTAATTTAAAAGAAGACTGAAGTCCGCAACGTATTTACAAACGAAAACTTAAAATAATCATATATTTAGCAGTCAATTTACCACTAATTTTGATTTGTACTAATGTCCAAGAAATTAATACTTCTTTAAAAGACAGTAACCACCATATAACTTTAATTTTGAGCCAAAATACTTCATACAGTTGTGACACGTCGCTGTATTTTTAAGTTTATTGTAATAAGGGACAGGAACTTCTTCCTCTAGAAAGCGGTCTAGACCGCATTCCTTACGTAACACAATAGAATAGCAACCTGACTTTTCGCCAAAAGTGGCCGGCAAAGTCAGACTAATGTAGACAGGCATACGTGCATCACGCTTTCTTCTCCACTTATTTTTAAAAGTGTATTAAACAAATTTTAATGTATTATAAAAATACGTATAATTAATAAATAACAATTTTGTTTACTTATTTAATAATTTCCCCGTCACGAAATTGGCGATCCTGCCAGGATAGACCGAAACGATTACGATCAAAAATCGGCTATCCTTGTGAGAACCTGTGTAGTGGTTTATAAAATAGTTTCGTGTTAATTGTGACGGTTTATACGGTGATTTTTTCACTGGAAATCACCGGAAAGCACGGACTCGGGCCGAATTGAGTAAGTTCGACAGTGATTCCGTGGGTATAAAAGTCCCAGAGAAGGTGAGACGCCACCCAACCAAGTTTGCAACAAGGGATAATAATTTCTTACGAGTGATATTTCCAGTCGCCACCAAACTAAGTTCTCAACGTGGGACAATAATTTCTTGCGAGTGATATTTCCCGGCTGTCTGATCAACCTTGCAACTTCTAAAACAACTAACGAGTAAGACAAAATAATTGTTGAATTAATTATTATTATTGTTTGACATTTTCACTCTAATTAAATATTTTTGTTTAAAGTGGTATAATAAAAAGTAAAATTTAAGTTTATTAGGTAAAATTACATCTTTTTCTATAAAACGAAATTGAAAAAAACTTTACACTGGCTCTTAAATCATATCTCAACTATCTATCCGGGTACGAATCCGCTAGTAATCAGTGTCCCAAATCCTCTCAAATTAATCCTAATTCTAAAGAATTCCTAAAAATAAAAATGGCATCCCCCGCAAACTTAGAAAACATTCTTTCCAATCTTAAAGAGACAATACAACAATTCTCTAGTAAATTAACATTGATAGAAGAGACACAAAATAAAATAAACTTAAAAATTGGTACATTAAATGAAGAAAGTTCTAAACGTACAGAGGAAATAAAAATACTAGGGCGACAAAGCAATTCATTGCTTACAGAGGATGACGAAACAGAGGGCGAGAATAGAGATAAAAAGAATAGTCAGGATAGAGAAGGTATCGCAGAACGAAAAAGGGACCCATTGAATAGAGTTTCAATGGACCGCCGTCTACCGTAGCTCCAAGCACACTTTTACCTTCTAAGGATATTAACCGTACAGTAGAAACACTTAATGGTAAAGACGACATTGGAGTCCAAGATTTTATTCGTCGTGTCAAGAAAGCAAAATCGCGGTGTAGTCAACCTGATTTATTATTAGATTTTGTATTAACCGAAAAAATCATCGGAGATGCTAAACGATCAATTCGATATGTCCCTATTAATACGTTTGATGAATTATACGCAGCGTTGCAGCAAACATCCGCTATAAAAAATACATTATGAATTTAAGAGATGACATTACTTTCTTAATGTGGACACTACAGCCCGACACTATTGGTAAAGCTCAACAACAAGCTTTAAAAGTAGAATCACGGTTACGTGAAAAGGCTCGATTATGGTCAGGTAACGCTCCGAGGTTAGTTTCACGCCCAGCCTCACACGGTGCCACGAAAAATCATATGGCGAACCATAGACCCCATCCTTCCAACGCAGGCAACGTCACTACGTCGCGACCTTCGAACGTAATTTGTAATTTCTGCAAAAAACCCGGACATACAGAAACTCAGTGCTACCAAAAGAGAAATCAACAGAATTATCAATCAAACCCCCACCTAAAACGCCCCCCGAGTCGAGTACATTATACGAACGAAACTTGCTCAGCGGAGGAGCAAGTGGAAGAAGTGGAACAACTGACGGAACAACCATCGACAGAATCACTCGCATATCAGGACGACTACAATCAGTATTCGTACGACCATCAAGATTCGAGCGACCCCTGCGATTACTTGTGGACTCCGGATCATCAATAAATTTGATTAAAAATTCTTTCGTCCCCCCACTAATTGTTAAAGAACCGTGCAAAAAAGAATTTCAAATGGGAAATTGGAAACAAACTTCGGAATGTAAAGTCACACTTGAATAATAGAATAAAATTAACATTTTTTACATTGTCCCTGACAATTTTCCTTTACCGGAAGACGGTATATTAGGATTGCCATTTATGCAACAATATAATTTTATTTTGTCGAAAGTAAAGCTAAAACTCAATTCACAAAAACACCCATTAATTGATGATGTAATTATTGTGCCACCTAATCAGGTCAAATTAGTTCCCATCCCGGTATTCGAAAAAAAAGTCAATGTTGTAATTTTCGATAATCCCCATATCCCTGATTCTATTTATGCGATAAGAGATCGGACTGTCACCATTCCTTTTTGCAATGATTCGACACAGTTCGAACACATTACTACTAATGACATTAATATTCAACCTCTTAAATCAGCTTTTCCTGACGAAGAAGTTCGACCAATGACATGTAGCGAATTGTCTCAACGCATAAATATTCTAAACGAAAACTAACGATTGGATCACATTGAAAAAGATTTTAGAGATAAGATTCAAAAAATAGTACAGTCATACCATGATATTTTGAGACTTCCCGATGACCCTTTACCAGGATCGCGACTCGCGAGCCATAAAATTGTACTGAGTGAAGATAAAATTATTAACAATAGGTCGTACAATCCACCCGCGTGCCATAGAAAAGAACTTGATGGTCATGTTGGAGATCTTCTAAAACAATTCATTATAAGACACTCAGAGTCACCTTACAATTTTCCAGTATGGATTGTCCCAAAAAAGGCAGATGCTTCCGGTAAACAGAAATGGAGTGTTGTAATTGATTTCAGGAAGATTAACGAGATAACTGATCAAGACTCGTATCCTTTACCAGTTATAGAGGAGATCCTGGATTCCCTTGGAAAAGCGAAATTTTTTTCTGCATTCGACCTTAGTTCTGGATTTCACCAAATTCCAATGGACGAAAGCTCAAAAAAATATACAGCTTTCTTCACTCCGAAAGGACATTTCGAATGCATGCCGTTCGGTTTAAAAAACGCGCCTGCCACATTTCCGCTAAATATCAATAACGCTTTGAAAGGATTAATCCATAAAATTTGCGTAGTCTATTTAGATGACATTGTAGTTTTTGGATCCACCATAGAGGAACATAATAAAAATTTAGTCACCCTTTTTGACAGACTACGACAAACTGGTTTGAAACTACAACCCGACAAATGTGAATATCTGAGGCCGGAACTAGAATATCTGGGCCACGTGATAAGTTCCGAGGGTGAAAACCCAATCCAAAAAATATTCAGGCCGTTTTAGATTTTCCAAAACCTAAGAGCGCCACCAATATTAAATCATTTTTAGGTCTCTCAGGTTATTATCGTAAATTCATAAAGGATTATTCGACAATCGCAAAACCGCTTACTGAACTTACAAAAAATACTAAAGAATTTATCTGGACCCAAGAAAGCCAAATTGCATTTGATAAATTAAAAAATGCGCTTTGTACTGCACCAGTATTAAGATATCTTGATTTTGATAAGGAATTTGTCCTTACCACAAATGCCTTAAATGTTGGTATAGGAGCCATCTTATCTCAAAATGGTCACCCTTGCTATTATGCTTCTCGTATACTCAATGCAGTCGAGTTAAATTACACAACCACAGAGAAGGAACTGCTTGCTATAGTTTGGGCAACTAAAAGACTTCGTAGCAGGTTGAAAGGATCGGTAATAAGAATCGAGGAGGATAAGACGATTAGAGAAAGAAGGATACACGGCCTTCTGCAGAATAAGGCAGGAGAGGAGAGAGGGAAGGGGAATCAGGTGAGATGGGGTAGGCAATGTATATAGATTAACGGAAGAAGGTGGGTAGTGAGAGAAGGACAAGAAGTATGGGGAGTTAACGAGGACGTTCAGGGTGAGGGGTTTCAAGAGGAGAAGCCAGGGAAGCAGGATTAAGAAAGGGGGGTGGTATCAAGGTGGCTTTTTGGAATATATCGGGTTTAAAAAATAAGGATTTAAAATAAGTCTTTTATAAGAAAATAAGGCTTTTGGAAGACAATAAGAGATTGGGATGTAATCTGAGTGAGACCTGGGTAGAAAAAAAGGATTGGGAGAGGATTAAAAAAAAGTTACTGAAAGGATACTCGTGGAGATGGCAAAGCGCAAGCAGAGATAGAGTAAAAGGCAGAGGGGAAGGAGGTATGGTGTCAGGGGTAAGGATAGGGTTAAATGAGCAGGATTTGGAAACAGAGTGGATTGAAAACGAGGGTTGTATGGCTAGAAGGGTTAAAAGAGGAAGAGAGACGGTGACCTTAGTAAGTATATACAGGAGAAAAGGGGAGGAGGCTGGATGGAAGTTTTTGGAGGAGTGGATGGAAATTGGGAAAGATGAGACAGTTATTATAGGGGGGGATTTTAATGCCTGGACGGGGAAACTTGGGGGCGGCGACTGGGACGAGGAAGAGGAAATGTTTGTCAGAAGTTCAAAACATAAAGAGGTTGATAAAGAAGGTAGAAGGCTGCTCAGACTATTAGAAGAAGAAGGGTGGGGAATATGTAATGGTAATACAAAGGGGGACGAAAAGGGTGAATTTACTTTTGTATGGAGGGGGGAAACGGTAATCGATTACGTGTTAGCAGACGATAAAGGGAAGGATATTATTGAGACGATGAAGGTAGGGAGGGAGACTGGATCGGAGCATTTTCCTTTAATAATCGAGGTTAAGGGAGTAAATGTGCAGAGAAGAGGGGAAAGAAATACGATACAAGTGAAGATGGGAAAATGGGACGATTCGCTGTTGCTCGAGTTTCAGGAAAGAATGAAAGAAGCGTATAAGGGTATAGAGAGGATGGGTAGTGCGGATGAAAGAATTAAACGTTTAAGGGAATGTATTGATAAAGTTAAGAGTGAGATGAATGTGGTGGAGGAGAGGAAGAAGTGGTATAGAAGTTGGTGGGATGAGGAGTGTGACAAGAGTAAAAATAATTTGAGAAAGAGCATCAAAGAGTGGAGAATGGGTAAAATAGACAAGAGAGAATATAACAGTAGGCACAAAGCGCACGAAAAGTTGCTTAGACGCAAGAGGGAGAAA